GGCTTTGTGGAGGGGTGCTGGCTGCTTTGAGAGGTCAGGTGGAAGGAGGCTTCCTGGAGTCAGCTCCTGTTCTCCATTCACCTCAGGATACTGATAAGCAGCCCCATATCTTAAGAGGTAATGTTGACAGAGGGCAGGATATGTAGCCAAAAAAATCTACATGGGAAAATTTTGCAAACTCACCCTCAAGTACATACTTTAAGATAAAGAACATCATAAACAACCAAAGAAAACACTTTGCCAAAGAATCAATTAAGAAACATTAGAATTTCTTGAGTTCTTCAAAAATAACACATTCGCATTGAGCCTCTTCTACCTGCTCAGCTATGTGCCAGGCAATGCACAGGGAGGGCTGTGCCACATGAGGCTCCAAACTCAGAGAAAAGAGGGTGGATCCAGAGTGTAAGGGCCCTGAACCTGTGTAGCTGGACAAGGACATGGCACCGCATGGTTCTATGTTGGCTGAGACACCCATCAGATTGCTCTGGGTTCTACGGGTTGCACAAACACAAGGAGCCAAATGGCATGCAGAGGCTGGGCCACACTGCTGCCTGAGCAGGACTGAGAGTACAGGCCAAGATAGGACCTCCTTAGGCCTCGCCCTGAAGTGAAGGCAGCCAGGGCCCAGAGGAAAGCAGTAAACCTGGCAACCACCCCACAACCGGCTTTAAAACCAGAGCTGCTGAACCAGGGACAGCAGAGACCTGGCTGGGCCTGCCCCACAAAGACCAAACTGGGGTGCTTTCCACAGAGCCTGGCAGCACAATGCAATTCTCCTTTCCACCCCCGGGCACAGGAGTGCCAAGGAAGCCAAGAGACAAGGCCAAAGAAATACTCAGATTATTTCTTTATTATAAAAATAAGTTCCCTAATGGATGGAGAGTCAGGTCCTTAATCAAAACATTTGGTTCCCCAGCAGAGAAGCGAGTTAGTGGGTAGATGGACAAAGCAACCAGAAATATTTAACCCACAACCCCCAGTAGCTCCTCTATGATGGAGGGGCCCCTCACAGTCTCATTGACCCAACATATTCTCTCACCTAACCCCCGACACAACAGGAGGGGCCCCTCACAGTCTCATTGACACAACACTCCCTGTGAAGTACACCCTGTAAGTGTTTTGGGTGTTAAGATGAAGTAAATGAGTAAGAACTAAAATAAATAAGTGAGGTTTACTGTGGAGTAAGATGAGCAGGTGGCAGAATAGGATACAAATGTCTGTTAACAAACAAAAAATACTTTCTCTAGGAAATTCTAAACAACAACAGGGATGGACTTCAGATTCTAGTCTAGAGTTTAAAGAAGAGGCATCTAATACTTAAAATAATTTGAATGCTCTAAAGGCCTTCCTCATCTTTGAATCCAATGAAGCACGTATTTCTTTCTTCCACTGTATGATTAAGGTTTTGATTTTTATGTGAAACAAAGCCCAAGAGAGTTCAAAGAGGACTGTTCGTAAAAATAAAAGCCAAGAGGCATCAATATTAATAAGGCTAAACTGAATAAGATATTTAACAACCTTGGTAAAATTAAAAACAATGACTAATTCAATCCAGACAATTAGGTCAAGCTCAAATTCCAGGAATCCTAAAACTTAGATATAATAAGGCAAGAATTTTGCTCTGCTTCAGTGGTCAAAATAAAGCACCCACTCAAGGGAAACCAGGCCCAATGGGAGCACTGAAGGAACATAGTGGGGACAGGGCGTGTTGGGACACAGAACAAAATAATAATACAATACCACCTGGGACATGGACAGTGTGTGACAAAGGGAAAAAAGGCAATGTTCACAAAACACCAAATAATCATTCAGCAAACATCTGAGAGACTCTGACAGACTTGACAAAGCCTCTCCTGCTCCAAGGAAGCAAGTGAACAGCTCATCTAAGAGATGATATGACAAACAAAGAGTAACAGAACATAAAATGCCCAGATTGCCTCAGAGATGTGCACAATTGCAAGAAACTGAACAAGGTCAAAGGCCCTTACTTGGGAAGGATATGGAAAGATGTCCTAATGAGTGAATGAAAGAGACCAAATATGAAGACCATATACCAATTCGCTGCCTACATCTTACCAATTTGCTGCCTACATCTCTGGAAATGACCTTTAATAATTTGGAGAGTAGGAAATTCAGTGAAAAGTCACATTCACCCCAGTTCCACTCACTAAGACACACACTTGCAATTTAACAGCATTCATTCAACTCCATAAATGGAATGTAAAAGCACTAGAATCTTGCTGCAGGCCTATGTCCTAGCCTCTGTTCTTGCTCAATATACTCGCCCAACATTAGGAGTATTCAGCTTCTCTGGTTTAAATGTCAAACTGGCAAAAAAAGAGAAGTTGAACAAAAGCAAAAATATTCCACTTACTCTAGGACAGAAACATTCACTCAAGGAACCAAGGAGGTGGGAAGCCTCCCTGTCAAAGCTGGTGGTACTGCCTGTACCTACAACAGCAGGCAAAGACACTCACCGGACACGCAGGCGTCTTCAGAGACTTCCTTTGCGTTTCCAATAGCATCCCCTGTCATTCAACCATTGGTCTTAAATCAGACAAATGGGTAATTTCTCTGACAGTGTGATTTGATCTTTTTTAATAAGAAATTTTCAAACTAAGTGGTAACTGGCTGAAGATTTTCCAAAACATTACTTTTCTTTTGTAACACAAATAAGAGAAATCTATCTTTCTATTTCCCTAGGATGATGATATTAGTGTAGCTCAAGTCCTAAAAATTCATTGTCCTGTCCACACTGATAGGCCAAAACAAGCTTTTCACACTTAGTATTCTAAGATACTAACGTAACTCAGTTCCTTCTGTATAAAATCAAGGGCAATAGCAATTTTCTGTTTACTCATAATGCCCCAAACTTGAAAAAACTAAAAATCCAGTGTTTTTTACAATTGTATATAAAATGGTTATAGTTTATAGAACTTGGCACTTTCATAAAATGTACAACAAATGTTTAATGTCTCTAAAAAGTAAAATGACTTCTTAAAAAGACAAAAGGCTACCAGTACATTCAACAGTGTCTGATAAATTAAAATACATCTTAGTAATCAGGTTCTCCATGAATATATTTCTAAATCGATGCTCTATAACTGAACACCCAACATTATAATTTCTGCATCACCTCCTAGTATTTTATTATTTTGTTCTTCCTGTATCTTTCAGAATTGTGACAATGTTAACAAATGGTGGCGATCAGAAAAATAGAAGGAAAATGGGGTTTTTTCTGTCTTCCTAATGTAATGAATGAACTATAATTATTTTTTTCCAATATTCTGTGCCCTTTTCCACTTTTGAAAGAGATACAATGCTAGACAAAGCAAAAAAGCTTATTTCTCTGACCACAGACAGAAATGTAGTCTATATAATAAAAGCAACTGATGATTAAATCCTATTTAATTTATAAGAAAATTTTATGATTTTCCACCATTTATTTGTTTCACACAGTGAAAAAAAATCACCTCTTCCTTAGAGCCTGGATTGCAAACCAGGTGTACCCCTGTTGAAAGGCAGTCAAAACAATAACAAGAGAATGGGCTACTTTCTGCCTCTTGTACAAGCTTGTTTGTGGAATTTATTTCTTAAACATTAAAAATAAGGAGTTAATGTGGTGGGGGGGTTAAATTCCAGCCCTATTATGTATGCCTTAGAGTTCTTGGAATTCCTTTGCACAGATCTTCACTTGCTCAATAACTGATGTCTTTCCCTTTGTTGTTAATAACATCAGTTTTATTAATGCCCTTTTGCTGAATTAAGAATTGGCTTTAGGTAGTTTCTACAAAAAGCTACGTAACTATGGGCCACTTCACTTAATTTAGTAACCCAAAAGAGAAGCATTTTGTTTTCATGAATACAATGGCAAATATAAAACAAACTAAAGACTCTACCAAGTCAGGAACTATAGCAAAGACCAGATAACCACAGGGAATGTGTGGTTCAGGTGACTGGTAACTGAATATGGTGGCTGTTTTCAAGCTGAAGAATGAAACAGCCTAGATCTAGGGCAACAGGAAGATGTTGCCCTTCAGAAATACTAGTATCCAGTTCCTTCCTGGTACTACAAGCTATACTCAGACTAGACTAAAAATCAGAGTGCACGCCTCTTAATTTCATCACCTTCAATGTGGCCTGGCAGTGTAGATCAAGGGGCGAAACGGATAGGATGCTATCAGCAGGTTTGTGCTAAGGACAGCTGGGGTATTGTTATCCAAACCTGCTCTCAAAAAAAAAAAAAAAAAAAAAAGCCAGGGCTGTTTAAAGAAAAGCCTACCGCTGAATATGTTCCTAAAGCCTCAGGACTCCAATTAGTCAGGTTCAAGTCAAGACAACTAATCCTGGAATTGTCCAACTCTCTTAGAATGGTTTAAAATAGAAAAAAAAAAAAGGCTATTGGAAAACATTCCCCAATAGCTTGTCCTTTCCATCTACTGCTTACAAAGTACTTCGAAAGAGTTCCACTCTCTCTTACCAAAAACCAAACTTTAAGATGTCTGTAAAACAAAACTTGTCGGGAAATACCCAAGGAAACTCCCTTCAGAGATTGCTGTACTCTTTCATGCCCTAGTGGGCTGGGTGGAAACTGTGCCCCAGGATTTAGTCACGCAAATTCAGACTGACATTTTTGTCTTTACTACATCATCATTCACCCATGTTACAAAACATTCTTCCCTGGAATTTCTTAGGAAAAGTGAGCAGTAATGTTACTTTATGATTACATTCTGAATGTAAACAAATAAAGACGACAAGAGACATTTCAAGTTCACAGCACCCTTTCAAGCTGTGTGGACCATGCTTTACAACCAAGGCTTAGCAGAAGAGTAACCTCACACTCTCCACCCACTGCTCACCTGAAATTTCCTCCCATGAAAGACTGGCTAAGCTGGGAAAGAGGAAGCCCACATGTTTTGAATGGAACCGCTTTGGAGGTCTGAACTTTCCTAGTAGGAATAAGATATTGGGGATGTAGTTCTCATTGCTCATGTACTTACTGCCTCTGTCTGTCCCCAAGTCCCTCTGTATTTTCCTGGAAAAGCTTTCCTGGGAACCTGAGAGGATAAGCAAACATTCCGCCAAATGAAAAGCAAGTATCTTCAAAACTGCACCTTAAAGCACACCACGGGAATCACGTCCCTCTCCGCACTTACCTGGGAAAGCGTGTGGATTGGGCGACCCTCTCTTAAGGCACTTAGAACAGAGAATATGCACGGTGTAGTGCAGTCCAGGCCACTCCTGAAGCAGCACGTTCAGTTCCTCCACCAAGGGGGTTATGGCTTGCCACGCTGTCCATATATTTGGTAATGATGCATGGCTGGCAATGGACAGAGTGTCTGGCTGCAGGACCCCCTTGGAGGGCCTGTAACTCACCACCACGGGAACTTTCCCTCTGTAGGCAAAGATCTGAAGTTTACCATCCGACCTGTGTACCACATGGCTGTTGATCTGGACACTGTAGCGAGCAAACAACCCGGGTGGGAAAGTAAAGGGAAAACTATATTCAATCTGCAACTGCTCAGCCACAAATGACTGCCCGGCCAGGTTGGTCCCGTTAATCCAGGCCTCTGCGTGGGGCACCTCATTTTGCACGTAGCATGGGAATTTGTACCAGGCCGTGGACCCATTCAAAGGCTTGCCCTTGGGTTTATTGAGGCAGTAACAGAGTCCCATCTTCTCCAGAAGCTCTAGCAGCAGCTGCAAGTCCTGCTGGGCTTGGACATGAGGCTTAAGCAGCAACCGAATGACATGAGCTGGCAAGAGTCCATGAAGCAGGAAGCCTTCCACGTAATGATGGAGCTGGGTGACCCTGAGCAGGTCCTGGCTCGGGGTGGGCAGCCCCGTCAGAGGGGAGCTCTCCCCCTCGCCCTCCGTCTCTCCACTGGCCCCAAGGAGCAGCTTATGCAGCAGCAAGGAAGCATCCCTCTGGAAAAAGACATTGAGGATGTCAATGAGGCGGGTGAGGTTGTGGAAGACATGCTCCTTGAGGGCCGGACTGTCCTCAAAGTAGAGCAGCTTGCCGCTCTCGTGTAGGTAGGACAGGGCACTCTGCAGCCGGTCCTCGGTCAGACCTGCCTGCAGGCCCAAGCGAGCCGAGTCCCACCAGCTTAGCCAAAGCCGTTGTGCCTGCGGTGGCTGGAAATGCAGTTCCTCCAGCACCTGCCAGGATCGAGGCAGCACTCTGTGTAAGTTGGGGAAGATTTCCCGGTGCTCAGCTACAGAGAGCAGTTTGTCCCGAAGGCGCTGTAATTGGCGAGGGTCCCTGCAGCTGACGGGCAACACCGGGGAGAGGATCTGTAGCCGGTGATTGAGCAAGTATTGAAAATGGGCCTTGCGCCGCCGAAGGTTCTTGTCTGAAACACCATAATAAGCTGCATGGGGGCTGGCAGAACGCAGCTCGAAGTCCCGGGCCAGTGCCTCATCCACCACCTGGGCTAGCTGGCTCAGGCCCTCCGCATCGTGCTTCTCCTGCAGGGCAATCTGGCGGTGAATGTCCAGGCACTTCTCCTCCAGCTCCCGCTCGCCACACAGGTCTGCGTGAGTGCCTACAATGCACACCACAGCATGAGGCACCCGGGCCCCCACCCGATGCAAAAAGGAGCCTACAGTGGTGGGGAAACGGAGGGGTTCATAGGTGGCCAGGTTCACCACCAGCACATACAGGGCCCCAGGAGAGAGGAAGAAGGGCTGGATCACCTCGTAACTTTCATCTCCAGCTAAGTCATACACTATGAAGCGCAGGCCCCGGGAAGCATCTGCCGTCCAGCTAGTCACCTCGATGCCCTTGCTCATGGGAGGAGGGGAGGGTGGGTAGTTCGTCTCCTCATCTCCTCCTCCTTGGTTTCCCTCCACTTTCTCCTCGGTGAGGCAGTGACGGAGCAAGGTCTTCCCTGCAGCCTTATGGCCCATCAGGAGCAGCTTGAGGCGGGGTTGCACTGCAGGCTGGGAATGAGCTAGCTCCTTCTGGTAGGCTGCGATGTAGGGGATCCCCTTCATACAGACCTCATAGGGGGGCTGGATCAGTGGGTTGTCCTTGATCTTCCACAGGCTCACCCGGGAGAGCTGGCCAAAGTTGTCAGGCAGCACTGCGATCTGGTTCCCTTGCAGCACCAGCTCCTCCAGGCCGGTCAGCTCCACAATGGAGTCTGGCAGGTAGCGGATCCGGTTATTATCCAGCCACAGGGTGAGAAGGCGACCCAGACCCGAGATAAGGGATGGCACTGAGGTGAGCTGGTTGCGACTCAGGTAGAGCTCCTCCAGACCAGCCAGGGGCAGCAGCGCATCAGGGAACTCCTCAAAGAGGTTGGAGGAGAGGTTGAGCATTTTGAGCCGCTGCAGGCGGCTAAACTGGGCGGGCAGGGCCTGCAGGCCGTTGTTGTCTAGCATGAGGCTCTCCAGGCTGCCCAGCTCGCAGAAGCCACTGGGCAGGGTGCCCAGCTCAGCCCCACTCAGCCAGAGGATCTTCAGGGCACGCAGAGCACTGATATCCTCAGGTAGACCCCGCAGCCGGTTGCTGGACACGTCCAGCTCCTCCAGGGCCGCCAACTGCAGCAGCTGTTGAGGAAAAGCAGTGAGTTGGTTGTGGTCCACGTCCAGGGTGCGCAGGCGGTAGAGACAGGCGAGGGAGTCAGGCAGGTGCGCCAGCCGGTTAAAGCTGACGTCCAGCTCCTCCAGGTGGGCCAGGGCGCCCAGCTGGGCGGGTAGGGCTGGCAGCTGGTTGTGGCTGAGGTTGAGCTTGCGCAGCTCCCGCAGGGCACTCACCACCTCCGCGCCCAAGGTGGCCAGCCGGTTGTGGCTCACGTCCAGCTCGGTGAGGTGGTGGCCCAGTTCACCCACCGCCGAGGGCAGCCGGACGAAGTGGTTCCTGCGCAGGATCAGGACTCGCAGGCTGCCCAGCGCCGACCCCAGCCCGGCTGGCACCTCTTCCAGGCCGTTGTTTCCCAGGTTCAGCACCTCAATGTCCCCGATGTTGGCCGGCAGCACGAGCTGGGGAGCGTCCGGGGAGCCGGGTTGGTCGGCTCCGGCCCCCGGGCAGCCCCCGGCCGCGCTGAGGGTCAGCTGGCGCAGGTTGCTCCGCAGCTTCCTGGCGCGCAGGGCGGCGTCCCGCCACAGCCTCACCGTCTTCAGGTTCCCGCTGTCCTTCCCAGCCATGGCGGGGCCCCGGGCTGACACCCTCGCGCGGGCGCGGGAGCCCGCAGCTACATGCCACGCTGCGCCCCGGCGGGCGCCAGTCTCCCGGGCCCTCTGGCTCTCCGGGCTCGCCTCCCACCACCCCTCGGCGACCGGCGGCCGTGGGTCCTAGCGCAGCCGGCGGCCGGGCGCCCGCAGTCGGGGGGCGGTGGCGACGCACGCAGCTCCGGGGGCGCCGAGCACGCGGCGCGGGGGAAGGCGGCGGCGGCCGGCGGGGAGTGCAGCTCGCATTCTCCTTCTTCCCGGGCCATGGGCGCGCCGGGCAGCAGGGCCGCCGCCCGCCGCGCCGCGGAGGATGCCTGCTGCTCCTCCCCCGACTCCGCCCGCCTCGCGGCTCCTCGCTGCGGACTCCGGCCCCGCTAGCCCAGCAGCCGCGGCTCCGCGCCCGGCAGCGCCGTGGCCTCCGCGAGCTCCGCGAGGAGGGCTGCGCCCGGCCCCGCGGCGGGCATGATGCGGACGCAGGACCCCGCGCAGCCTGGAGAGGGGCGGCGGCGCCTCCTTGTCTCCGCTTCCCCGGCTCCGGCGGGAGCGCGATCGGGAAGCGGCAGCGCCGCCCGGCGGAGCGGCCCCCACGTGACCGGCGGAGGCGCCGCGTGTTCCCGGCACCGCCCCGGGGGCGGGAGCGCGGGGCCGGCACCGGGTGCGGGACCGGGGCGCCTCGCCAGGTGCGGGTACGCAACGAGGACGCCTTCGGCTGGGGGCGCCCGGGGAGCTGGTCCCGGCTGCTATTCCAGGGCTCACGGGCTTACCTGGGTGGGTTCGCCTGAGTCTGGCTCTTTGTTAGCCCCATGCCTCTAAGGATTTCTTTTTCTTCTTCCCGCCGACTTCCCTTATTCATTCTTTAACTCCCTCTGCACCCACACTCACCCTGCACCCCCACCGTGATGGCGTTGGCAACACTCAAAACCCAGGAGCCTGGGTTTCACTGTAGGAGCCTAGGACCGGAGCGTGGCTAAACAAAAGGAAAGCGGGCTGCCATTCATTCATTGGTAAATATTTATTAAGGCCCTATGTTGTGGCACATTTGCTGACACGGACATTCTCCGCTTTGCCTGGGGAAGGCTTTGAGCAGCTCCCGCCAGCCTGGAAGGGGTGAGAATAGGGGCAATGCAAGATATCTTATCTGGTGTGTCCATTTAGCCTCACAACAACCTGGTGAAAGAAATACCAGATCTCCAACTGCACGGTACTTGTTATGCTGCAGATTCAAGAAAATGGCAGCTGTATCTGACAAAATTCACAGTCCAGTGATCAGTATTACGGTTTATTTTTTCCTCTATGAGGAAGTTTCTTTGAGGTCATATCTACACAAATAATTTCTTCAGAATTTACCATAACCTCGAAACCTATTAAATCTCTGGCTATCACCACCACCACTGCCTCCACACGGACTAACAATGAGGCAAGTAGTTTTGCCAGGGCACAAACGAATTTAATGATTAAATGCACCACTTAAGGCACATTACGGCTCTTCCCCATTTATGACACTGCTGTCTATTGGAGAAGCACATTGGGGGCAGTTATTTGGGTAGGAATAGTTTGTCTCTTGAAGGAGAGCAATGAACATAGACCTCAGTAATGGTTATTAAGCCCAGACTGGGTCAGTTCTGGAAGGTCCCACAGCACAGGTGAAATGTGTGCTCTTTAAGAGAGAGCTGTGTTCCTCAAAAGATCTGTGTTCACCTTGAAAGACTTTTTGTGAGATCTAGTTGCTCAAGGGTTACTCTGATCCCCATGCCCAAGAAGTCATCTAGGCTAAACCTCCCCCCTCCTCCCACAGGAGAAAACAGGCTTAGATAAGATCTTCCCAACCAGCCAACCAGGTAAAGGGCAGAACCAGGTGTGCTAACTTTCCACCTGGAGTTATTCTCCTCCTGCTTCACTGTCAAAGGGGTCTTGAATCAGAGCTCACCTCCATCCTTCTATGCAAATCTGAACTTCTGCCAGGGGAAGCAGACTATAGAAAGCATCTGCGTCCTGCCTGCCTTGAATAGCTAAACTGAAGTCCTAAAGCTGTCTGGATTAGACTTAAATAATCTGTGCTAAATTGTTCTCCTTTAGGGGTCATCACAAAATTATACTTCTATTTTAAATGTCTTTGAAAACTGTTTTTCCTTTGTCAGGAGATAATCTGTAATTTGCTTTATCTGATAGAGAGCTGGCTAGGATCAGGGAACACCCCTTAAGGGGACTCTGGGTCCTTACTAGAGCACCACAGCCTGGTGTAAGTGAATTTTTGCGTTAGTGGTCTAGGATATGTCTAGGAACAGTTCTCTGAGTGTGTTATATAAAATTTTGTCCTAGAGTCGTCAATGGTCAATATGCAAAAACTCAAAAGTTCAGGTAAGGAAAATGCAATGATGAAATGAAACTCCAGGAAAGGTAATTGAGTCTAGTATGTTCTTTAAACTCAAGCACCAACTTGGTTCTCCTTTTGCCACACCCACACCTTGTGGTGTCATTTCTAGAGGGCCAAGGGACGTGATGAACCTGCCCCCTTGGTCTTCTGGAATATTCTTGGTAGGAAGTTTCCGGGTGGGAAGAATCCAGAATTCCCAGTATGAACACCCTCAAGCCTGCTTGGGGAAGGGGGGCTAGACTTCATAGTTATTCAGGAGTTACTAGTATTAGTGTACCTCAGCCGCCAGAGAATGGGTGGAATGTGACTGTCCCCACAATCTCCTTGCTGTGCTGGATGCAGCCCAAGTTAGGATGGTGGCGGGGTTGTCACATTTGTTAGTCTAATGTAGCACATTTAAGTATTTAGGCATATAGAGTAGGGGCCTCCATTTGTACTCATGCTCTAGACCCTGATAAAATCAAGAGGCCTTGCCTAGGTTAGGGTTTTCCTTAAAGCTACAAAAACATCAACCTGGAAAAAAATGGACTGTAGTTATTGCAAGTTTTCTTGCCTTGGATGTTTATCCAATATCATGAACCTAAACTATAAATTTTCCAAAACCTTTCATTTTTTTTTCGTTTTTCTTACTCTAAGACTGTTTTCATTTTAGTTTCTGTCGTGTGCTTGCCATTGGCTTCCTCCCAGAGTGCAGACCCTGTGTTAGGGGCGGGGGAGAGCGCATGTGAAGAGGTTGGGTCTTGAGCTAGAACGTTAAAAGATGGGGCTAACTAGAGGAAGGAGTTAGAGTCTTTCACTGGACAAGAGTCTTTCATTTAAATGTCTTTCAATAGCAGTCTGAATGGCTCAGGGGCAGGGATGCTCCTCTCTCGCCCCTTCCTGTCTAGCAACAAGCTCCAAGCAAGCTTTCGTGCCTGGCTTCTTTCACTCTGTCTTCAAAATACTCGACTTTTCTCCATCATGACAGATTTTTCTCTTGACCTTGCTAACCCCCAGATACTGCCTCACTGCTTGACTTCCTTTCCCTGTCAAATCCTTTACATTAGTGGTCTAGGGTACGTCTGGTTCCTTGCACTGGTTCCCTCCTTGGACCCAGTATTCTGGCCTCCATCCACACTAAGCCATCAGCATTTCTCTCTAAATGGCCAACTCACCCTTTCTCCTTTCTTGACCTCCCATCGATGAAAATGTTAAACAACTTCCTTTGGGAACTTTCTCTTTTCTTGGCTGGTAGCGTGACTGGTTTCTCTTTAAGGTCTGGATTTTCAAAACAAACAAACTAGTGCTAAAAAGGCCAGTTATTTCTTTATAGAAATCAAGTTTGTCTTTAGAATAAGTGCTGCCAAGTGAACCACTAATGTTGCAAAGACACAGCCACGAATGACGTACATATGCATAGTTTCTTAGGAGAGCATTTAGTCATTATGCTTTTTCCACTTATAGTTGTATGATTCTATTTATATTAAAGATGCATAATTTGGAATATTATGTAAGTACCCTTTTCTACTGAATTGCAATATTATCAACCACAACTTCATCAAGGCTTGATTGTAGCATGACCATGTCCCAGCATGCTCTAGACTGAGGGGTTCCCCAACATAAGGGACATACTACACTTTAAAACCAGGGTGATCCTAGGAAACTAGTACAGTTTGTTAACCTTCTTGGTCTTTAAAAAGAAACCATTATCTTGCTTTCTCTGTACCTTCAGGAGTTCAGAAAGCACAGCTGCCCAGCAGAAATTCAGCACTAACTTGCTTGAGCTACTTCAGACTTCCAAAATGGCTGATTTAATTTATTTAACTGCTTGCTTACTTGTCAGAAAGGACATTTTTGGGCTTGAGGTTCTAACTAACTTTGGGGATGGAAACTACCTGTCTAGTCTTGATTCCTTAAAACTTCAGAGCAAATGAGATGCATAGCTGGCTTATAACATTTCATGAGAAGATTCATTTAGTTCTCTCCTTGAAGTCTGGAGGTGTCAAGACTATGCTGCCTTTATCATGAAGAGAGGGAGGGAGATTTCCACATTTCTCCTTTTTTGCTGTTTCAGATCTCGCTAGTATTTTGCTGTATATATACAATAACAAACAATGCTTGATCTTAATCAAGCCCCATCCGTCTTAGCTAAACAGGAAAAGGAAAAGAAAGGGGTAGTTTTCTAAAAGATCTTAGGCTTGTTTCAAAGATTAGAAATAAAGCCTTAAGAATTTACACATAAGACAGTTTAGTCAAAGGGAATCTTTGAGGTCATGTCATTTAAACTCTCCTATTGGGGATGACTGACTGAGGTATTTAGGAAAGACACCAGTAATCACAGCTAACTTGTATTAAAGGTTTTCTATGTACAGGTGCTGGGCTGCATGCTGCATAGAATGTCACCTAGAATTCCAGAACTTACCCTGGGGCACCAATATTGCACTTAGCCTTCACCAAGTTGAATAGCGGGTTGGATTCCCTTACTCTCCTCCTTTTATCAGTGGAGGAAAATGAAAGCAGGGCTACTGAGTAGCAGAACCCAGATTGAAAATAAGGCTTATGTTTTTGTCAGCCTGTTATTTCTCGGGGTGTTAGGCAGAAGGCCAGAGAGGAGTTAGTTTCAGTT